ACAGTCTATGCAGCCCCTGATTAATTTCTTTAATGGTAAAGATTCATATTCTTCCATTTTGAAAGTGAAAGACAAAGGGGAAGAATGAAAGAAAGAAGATAAAAGTTATTCCTTCCTCTAAAAGGAAATTAAAAGAAGAAAGATCAAGCATCAGACTCTACAGGAACAGATGGAAATTAGATCCGGAGTCTGATTCTGATCCCTTTTGCCCTGATGCAAATAAATAACAATAATGGGTTAAAAAGAAGGGGAGAAGAACTCTCAGGCAGTGTTGTTACACAAGCAGGATCTGGCTCCATCTCTTTTGTATAGGAACGCGCTCGCCCTCTGTGTGCATCAGAATGAAGGCTGTTCCTAGATTCATGCTGAGCTTCAGTTAGGAACGTGCCACCCAAAGGGGAAAACACAATAAGAGGGTTCACTGCACAGGGCACGAGCAGCCAGAGAGTGATGGGGAGGACCCGAGATGTAGCACGCTGTGTTAAGCAGGTGCTGCCTCCATGCAGAGCTTGATGGAAGGGTTCGTGTCATGCTGAGCACTTGCTGTCCAGCCCACCAGAAAGAAACGTTGGTATCTTCCTGGTTTTGTAAGAGAATCTGCAGGAGAATTAATGTCAAAGAGGAAATAGAGAACCATTTAGGCATCATTTTCAGCTTTAAAGGGACAGGCGCCACAGTAAGCAAGTAGGCAGTATGCTGTACAAACTGCATTCAGATTTCCCACAGCAGATAACCTGCAGCAGAAGATGCTTTTTGTGAAAAACCTCTCTCTTCTGTAAAACAGAATCATAGAGTCATAGAATCACCAAGGCTGGAGAAGATCTCCAAGTTCATCCACTCCAACCATCCACCTACCACCAAGATTTCCCACTCCACCATGTCCCTCAGTGCAACATCTAATAGTAGCAGTATGAGCAATTCATTTTAAATATCATTTTTTGTGTGTGATTTGTCTGCAGCTGTTATTAGACAAGCTGTAAGGCCACATGCAATTGTATAGCACTAACAAACCAGATAGCCTGAGATGTCTTTCCACGCACTGCTTTTGTTCCTAAATATTGGAGGGCTTTAAGAACAGCGATGGCCAATTAAAGAGGAGCCTTTTGTTTGAGTCTCACTTGTCAATGGGCATTTTTCAGAGAACTTCATTACATTTCTGAGGTGACCTTTTCTTTCTCTGGGCCATCAGCAGGAAACAGAGGAAACAGCCAAAATTCAGCCTGCCCCCATGAACTTCCATCAGGCTCCAGGACCCTTCTTTTACAGGGGTCTTTTTCTCCTGTCTTCCTACATCTTGCCCTTTATTTAGACCCTTCCACATCTTTGGAGCCTTCTTTTGGATGCTCTTTAATAGTTTTACACCTTTATTCTGTTTTGGCACCCAAAACTGTCCATAGTACTCAAGGTGAGATGCAGTACTTAAGGTAAGCCTGTGATTATTTGAGAAGCCCTGAGTACCTGCATCAGTCCAACTTCCAGCTCTAAAATGTTATCTTCTGTATGCAAGCTTCTCCTATCTTCTAGCTCCATTGGGAGGTCTTGAATAGCCTAGAGTATCTCAAATGGTATATGAATCATATCTCAAATGTTTGCACTTAGCCCTCATTCTCCACTGAGTACAGTAAGAGGCATTCCTCAGCCACAGATGCCTCAAGGTGGTCTCTACCAAGGTGGTACCTCTACCAAGATCTTGGTATTTCATCTGTCAAATGAGGACACTGTAAGCTTTACCTCGCTGTGCTGAACATAAGGTAGATGTCTCACTGTAGGGACTTTGGGGCACATTACTAAAGGGATCTGGGGGACTAATTCTTGTGATGTGTCATTCAAGGCACATGGGCTTGACTCCTCAGTAGAGCTGACTGTAGCCTGTGAGTCACCCACTGCTGCCTAGTGGGTGATAACAGGAGTTCAAGGGCTGTTGTATAGCCTGGTACAGAGAGGTTTGAGATGACACCAGCCTATATCACCCTGGTCTGTTATAGGCAGGTGGCACAGACCTTACAGGTCTGTGAGGCTTCCAGTCCCATGATAGGTGATGTCCTGCTGGCTTAAGAGGGCCCACATAGGCTCAGCAAAGTACTCCCAAGACTAAGCATAGAGAGGGAGGAGTGGGAGTGGGTTTTTTGAAGTGACTTCAGTTTCAAACCAACCCCAGCCTGGATTTGATAGACAAACCTTGGAAGGGAGTTGAAACCCACTCATGCACCTCATGAAGGTGCGTCAGTCACCATGTGCAAATTAATTAATTAAAGTAAAAATAAGAAAATACTTCCCATGTGATCCAGCTTGCCAGAACTTTTTGTTAAGTGGAGACTTCTCCAGAAGTCTGTTCAGAAATAAGGCCTGGGAGAAGTGAAATAGAAAAGAAAAGGTCATCCCAGAGTTTGCATCCCAGAATATCCTATTGTATGAAGAGGTCACAGGCTGGAATTAACAGGGAAATATGGGAATGAGAAACTCATGGCCAAGATGGCAAAAATCAAAGCATGCTTTGTCATTTAGGCTTGGATAAAATAGCCAGGGAATGATTTCTGTGGCACCCCAGTGCTGGAGAAACCTTCATATTGCTCCATGGTTCTGTTTGATGTCTGCCTACTGATTGCATCCCAATGACACCCAGCTCAAAGCTGCATTCAGCACAGAGCTGTGAATTTTTTAAACAGTGGCAAGAGTCTGTCAAACTGTCTAGAGAAACTTCATTCCCCTCCTCGGATCAGAGCACAAATGAGGATGCAGCACGTATTTTGGTAAGGGTAGGACTCATCTTGCCTGTCCGCCAGTGTTTACAAGTCCACACACTCCCCTGTCAAGGATGGAGACAGACACTTTGGGAGCATGAGTCAACCCCCCCTGTCCCACACGTGGATCTTAGGACAGGGTGAATCATTTTCTGGGGGTGTCTGCCTCTTAAGGAGACGTTCAGATGACTGTCAGCAGGCCTGGTACCATGCAATGCGAGTGACTCAACACCCATACTCACAGCCAGCTCTATGCAATTTACAGGAAAGGCTGTGATTAGTGTAGGTTTATGCACAGAAAACGTTACAGTGGGAAAAGCTTTTATGTGTATGCTGGGTTTTTGTTTCTGATGCATTTTATTCCTCTCTCCCTACTAGAATAAATGATCTCAACTGAAACATTTTTAAGCCAGCGTGACACATCTGCCTCTTGTGGGCTGGCACTGCTTGAGTTTCATTGTTCAGGTACACCTAATGCTGTACATGTTTCTAGTATTGCAGCACTCACATAAGCCAACGCCTGACTTTTATTTCTATTAATCATGGAAAGTTTTTAAACTGAATGGCTAGAAGAGATTGCAGCAAGTGATACTTACACACAGCGTGGCAATCACCTAAAAATGCTGTGACATTTCCCAGGCTTCCAAAACTGTTTATCATGTCCATCAAAAATATAATGCACCTTAGAAAAATCATGCAGGCTGAAAATAAATCTGACGTACAACTATTTGGGGCTTAGGCTGTTCACTTTCAGAAGTTTCCATACTTTCCCAAGTCCTGTATACAGACCTTGTTGAGGTCACTCTGGAATGATGTCTGAAAAAGCACAGGTCTTTCTGCTGTCCCTATGGGAGACTTGCAGGCAGAGAGAGAAGGGAGACGTAAGGTGGATTTGAAGGTATAGATGATGCTTCCAGAGGAATTTTTGGCAGAGCCTCGGTCAAACAATTGCTACCCAGTTATTTGGCTTCTCGATCATGTATCTTAGTCCATCACCAGTTGCCTCACCTGCAGGGCTGTTGAAGTCTAGAGATCTGCAACAGAGGCAAAGGAGCGATATGCCAGTGGCCTTTATTTGTTTTCAGGAATCTGTCTCTTAATTTTTATGATGATGATTTGCTCAGTGATTTGTTCAATTTACCATTGTGATGATCAATGGTATTGTATTCTCAAAAGATTATCACAGTCCTGGAGTGTCATGGAGTGCTATCTTATCCACTGAAGCAAATGAATAAGCTTAAGTGCTGGCTGTAATGAGGAAGAAGACCGAGACTCTTTGGAATACTGTGGGATGCCTGCCCCATGCCAGAGTGCAGGGGGCACAAGCTGGTAGCTGAGGTTGACCCCAGTGCAGGCAATAACCTCACTGGTGGGAGTGGTCCAGTAGGGTCCAAGAGCACTAGGCAGAGCTGAATGGTTCACTAGATGTCCCAGATAGAGCAAGGAGATGAAAGAGATCCAAGGTTCTTCAAGTGGGCCTCACCAAGACAAAAAAGGAAACAGGGCTGGAGGCATGACTGTAGGGTTGGTCCCGTGTCTGTTCTGGAGTCGGTGATGGAGGCGTGCTACCTTCAGTGCAGGTCTTCAGTCTGTCCTGGAAATAGGATTTCCAGGACTCCAGGATTGCTGGAGCAGTCAGGTTCTGTGTTTTGGGACCATCTGATGGGTACTGATGGCATCTGTATAATCATCTGCATGTGACCACCAGTGATGAAAGCGATCACCTGCCTATTTCTCCCATTGGTGGATGCAAACAGAGGTTCCCGATGAAGGCAGGATCACTTACAAGTTAACGTGAATGCAGCCTGTAGGAAAGTATTTTAGATTAAAAAGGATGTGAAAAAATCATAGTTGTTCTGCTCTTCCAAGAATGTGCTCCAAGATGGATCTCTTTTTGCAGAAAGTAAACTTCATCCTTGGGCTGCAACCTTTAGATGGGATCTGAGTTTCAGATTCTCAGATGTGGATGTAATCATGATGAGGACTGAGGCTGTTTTTGGTAGGAAGGGCAGAGCTGGGGTGGGGTGGCAGAGCCCACTGCTTGTGAATACAGGCATCGGAAAACACATGAATGTAGCATCGATTGCAATTCCCACACTGATATTTCTGTATTTCTCTCCTCCAGACTGTAAGGACAACCTGGCGTGAGTTGAACCTTTGGGCTACCGAGCCTGCCCCAGATGCAATAATTTAGTGAGCAGATGATGTTTTCAACCAATCCTCCTGTCTAACTCAGTGGATCTGTGTGTCTTCCGGCAGGTGTGTCCTCTGTGGCCTCCCTGATGTCCCTGGCTTGGGTGCTAGCCTCCTATCACAAGCTTCTTCGGGACTCTAGGGACGACAAGAAGAGTATGAGCTACAGAGGGGCCCTCATCCATCTCTTCTGGCGCCTCTTCACCATCTCATCCCGAGTTATTTCTTTTGCTCTCTTTGCTTCCATCTTCCAGCTCTACTTTGGGATCTTTGTAGTGGTCCATTGGTGTGCCATGGCTTTCTGGATCATCCATGGTGGGACAGATTTCTGCATGTCTAAGTGGGAGGAGATCCTCTTCAACATGGTGGTAGGGATTGTGTACATTTTCTGCTGGTTTAATGTCAAGGAAGGGCGGACTCGATACAGAATGTTTGCGTATTACACGGTAGTCCTGACGGAGAACGCTGCCTTGACGCTCCTTTGGTATTTTTACAGAGATCCTGACACCACTGACTCATATGCCGTGCCAGCACTGTGTTGTGTCTTTCTTAGCTTTGCTGCTGGGATAGCTTTGATGCTGTTATATTATGGTGTGCTGCATCCCATGGGGCCAAGAGCTAAGATCTTTGCCAGCTCCTGTTGCGCCGAGCTGCTCTGGGGCATTCCTTTGCCCCCCGATGTTGAGCCCATGGCACCCCAAACCCCTGGGTACCGGGGGGCCCAGGCTACGCCCACCAGAGCGGTCACGGAGCAACAGGAGGAACTCACAGCTGACACTTGCTTGCCCGTTTTCCAGGTGAGAGCAATGGTACCATCTACTCCATCTGGGCGACCCTACCCCCCCGAGGGGCCTCTCATTAAGATTGACATCCCAAGAAAGAGATATCCTGCATGGGATGCTCATTTTGTAGACAGGAGGTTAAGAAGAACTATCAACATCCTCCAGTATGTCACCCCCACAGCTGTAGGTATTAGGTATAGAGATGGACCTCTCTTATATGAGTTGCTACAATATGAATCTTCACTTTAAAGCTCCTTAAAGCAAAAGTAAAAGAGGGGACCTTATTTTTGTTTACGGTAAACACAGATCATGAAACAAACACAAACCTTCAGATAAGCTTTCTTTCTGGTTGCTGTATGTATAAAAAAAAAAAAAGAAAAAGATATTCTCTATGTTTTGTAAGTAAAAACAAAAAGAAAAACTTTTCTTTTGTTTTTTACACACAAGAAACAGTATTTCAACTTCCACACCTAGGATTCACAGGTGGAGAAGGAGGCATCTCCACATCAGTTTTATACCGTACACCAAGTGTAGAACATTACTTATGGGATTGGTGCTGATTGAAAAATAAAAAAACAAACAAACAAACCTACAACTGCCTTATGCCCTTAGGTGCTGAGTTTCATTAAGTACTGTCACCTTTCTCATGCAAAACTCTTTGATGATTATATGCCAGGAAAATAATGATAATAATGATAAAAGAATACATGATTGAAATACAAACCTTAAAATTAATAAGGAAAAAAAAAAAAGAGGAAAAAAAAAAAAGAAAAAAATTAACAGAGACTGAGAGAAATGTCCGAAAATATCTCATTGCTCTCATTGGATTTAACTTAAGAAAACAAAACAAAACAAAACAAAGAAAGCAAGGCCAAGACACCCCGATGGAGATTGTTTTTTTTCCTAAAGGCTAAAAGACAACATCAGGTCTGCAGCTCCGGTTGGTGGCACATTTGTGACGCTGTTTGGCCAAGCCCGCTCACCTTGCCCGAGCCGTGTTGTAAATGTGGCCCTGCTGGGGAGCCATGTTCCTCCTGCAGGTGGCCCAATGCGCCGTGGTCAGTTTGCAGAGGGGGAACGTGGCAACGCACAGCTGATCTTGTCTTGAGCAGCTGCACGTGCTGATGCCCACTGGCTTCAGTGGAATCAATAACCACCACCTGAGCCCAGAATGAGGCTGGCCATGTTGATCTCTGGAAAATAAAACAAGAGATCTCCAATTGTGAAATTTTATACCAAAAAAACGCTCTACTAAAGTATACCTACGCATCTCTAATAATTTCAGTAATAATAAAACTCAGCATAGTAGCAAAAAGCGAGTCAATTTAAAGGCACAATACTTGATCAGTGACTGGCAAAATAATTTGACCTACTGTATCATTTTAAGGCTGTGAAAGGCATACGTGTATTATTTGTAATCTCGTGTTAAGACCTGTCACGTCTCATTCAGTGCGAGCCTTAAAGTGATTGTAAAGCATCCTTTGTTTCATTTGGGGCTTTTGGGGGTTTTGATTTTTTTTTTTCCTTCTGTTTTTTGGTTTTTTTTTTTGTGTGTGTGTGTGTGTTTTTGTTTTATTTTTAAGGAAAACAAAAATCTGAAAATCGGGATAAGCAAAGGAACGAGCAAACAACAACAACACAAACAAACAACGACAGGAAAACAAAACAAACAAAAAAGACAACAAACTTCTTCAAACGGTAATAACCTGTAAACTGACTCAACGTCTCTTGAGATGATTTTGGTGCTTTGTATTTTTGTTGATGTTGTTGTGATTTAGCTGAGATTTCTTCGACTCGGTACATGTGGGGAACTGCTGATAAAACTGTCTCGTGTCACCCTCGACTGTAAGTACGTGGCAAGAAACAACACCGCAGGAAGCGTAGAGGGAGCATCGTGGTGTAGCTTAGCCTTCCCACCGCAAGGAGATTCTGCCGCCTCCGATCACGGCCAAGGGTCGCGTGGTTGTCCTGACATTTCCCGCTAACCCGCCCGCTGTCAGACCATTCGCATCTCTCGCCTTCTGTTTCCGTGCTGGAATCTCTGTTTCGAGTTCAATCACAGGGTCGCGTCCACCCACCGCCCTTTTCCTTTTGGAGGGTGTTACTCTTTTAAAGGAGTATTCCCGTTTCAGGGCATCTTTTCAATCCCACCGCCCCTCTGCTTGGGAGGGGAGAAGCAACAACGACAAAAACGGTATTTTTACGTGAATACTGTAGTGTTTTCTCTGTGTGCGTTTGCAGTTTTTTATTCCAGAAATACTGTAACTGTCTAGGGTGCAAAACTCCCATGCTGGCCTCTTCTGTAGAGAAAATCAGCACGGGGGGATATTTTTTAATTACAATTATGATTATTATTATTTTCTTTTATTTGAAGAATCAGTTTTGTTTTCTTTTGTTTTAATTATGATAGCATTTGAAGAAACTAGTACAAATTTTATATAACAGTTTAAAGAAGCTGAACGCTTTCTTCGCCTGAATATACCTGACGAGAAACATTTTTTTCAATCAGTGATCCTTTGCAGTATTCTGAGAAGGAAGAAAAAAGAAAAAGAAAAAAAAGACACGTTTTTCTTTTTTTTTTTTTCAGTTGTGCCATTTTCTTTTGTAAAGAAACTTTTAACTCGTGTCCGCCCCTCTTAAGGAGGGCAGGACTCATTTGCGCCAAACTAGAGACACACGGCAAAGTTTGTACAAAGCCAAATTGTCACTGGTACTGTAACTCCCAGTCAAACTCCCATTTCAGGCAAACGTTTCTGGGCTCTGATTAGAACTGACGCGATGGCCACATTTTCATGCAGAGGGAGGTGTTTTGTCTTGTCATCCACTGCCCAAATTCCTGATCCCTTGTTTATCGTGCTCATACACATGTCTATCTACCCTTATGTACATCTGTGGAAAGCTTCCATTTGCTTTCTCCATTGCCCATATCCTATAGTCAGTCCCCTCTCGAGCATCCTACTAACGCATCACCCTGTTCCTTCCCTAATCCGTTTGTTGTCTCCATCAAAAGAGGTAATTTGTGAAGTGAACCTGCCGTCCTCTGAGCAATTTTGCACTGCTGTCATTAAAAGACACAAGTGCTAAACCCCTGACAATGACCTTGAGTTTCCCCTCCCGAGACTTCACTTCTTTTCCTGCAAGGACTCGCCCTTAATACCAGTGTAGATACACTCTAATCTGCTTCTCCAAGCCTCACACCCTGCTTAAAGACTCTCTTTAGTCCTTCCACAAAGAGCTCTCATCTACACATCCAACTTTTCATCGGCACAAGCATGAGAAAGGAATGGATGGGGAACAACCTCCACTCTTCCTCATGGACACATCCTCCAGGAGACAGCACCCTCGTTTCCAAAAGCACCAAGAGAAGGTTGCCCTCCAAGCATGTCAAACTTCAGGTCTGATTTGGAGAGGTGAACACATCTGACGGAACATCTGGACCCTGCCACCTCGCACCAAGACAGTGAGATGAGCCAGTGTGCCACGGTACGCTCACTGGGAGTCAAAGAGGAGACCCTTTGGTGCTGCCTGACCTCGGGAGCACCTGCAGCCTGCCTTCCCTCAGGAACGAGACCCTCACTCCAGACCACCACACCGACAGCCGTCCTCTCTGTCTCACTGCAAGAGCGGAGGGGCAAACCACTCCAGAAGTGACCTTACTTCTCAATACAGTGCTAACTTCTCACAACCAAACCAGCTTGACTTAAGGGCTTGACTCATTCCTGCTCCAAAGTCCTCCTTCTTCGGGTCTCGTCGTATGGATAACAACAAAAGCAGGTGCTTCCGCTGCGTGTTAAGACTGTTACATTATCCTTAGACACATAAACTGTCTGCCTCTGCTTTGAGTCCTTGCTTTGAGTGATATCCACTGGCATTTTGATTTAGCAAAAGATTTCCAGCGAGAGCCCATCCCCAACCTGAAGAACTATTTCTCTTTGAAAGACTTCATTGCAGCCTTAAAGTGCTCTCCCACCGCACCCAACGGACAGTTTGGGGTGGTGACCATCTCCTCTAGGGACTGTCTGTAATCATGTTGCCAAACAGCACCTTTTGCCAAGCATGGAGAGCAAAACTGCCCCCATCTTTTTGTTCATCGTAATCCCAAAACTGAGAATCTTGTCCTCACCTTTTTTCTTTTTTTTTTTTTTTTTCCCCCCCAGATCCCTTTGGTTTTTGGAGTGCACCCTGACAGGATGCTTTGGTTTCATTTGTTTTTTAACTCCCCGGTAGGTCAGTTATGCCATGTCCCAGCTTCTTGCCAGAAGATACTGCTTGAGGAGTTTTTTGAACTGGAGAAGTCTGAGCCTGTAATTATTCACACCACAAGTTGCATGGACAACTTCTCTGCCACGTCTGTGCTGCTGAATTCACCCTGGGACCATAGAAATGAGCCTTCCACACCATGCCAGGACAAAGCCAGGGCTTCACCATCCCCACTGTTGAATTGTTCAGCCCCTCTTTGGCATGGTTTTCATTCACTCCAGCAAGCCTAGACTTGGGCACAGCTTGCACAGGCATTGATACTGGCCAAAGACCATCCCCAGTTGGCAGTGTGGATGTGACTATGCTGTATTGAGATGAAATGGATCCTGGCAGTGCTTATTCTGCTAATAAAGTTGTATCTGTATGCTGCACAGCAGGACTTGGGATTTTGTGGAGTACATCAGCTCCGGCCTGGCGTACTTCTGTTGTCTGCCCAGTTCGACGGACAAAATATTTCTTGGTTGCTTCTTTTTGCTGAGCTTACTTTGCAAGCAGTATCACTTACATTGAGCTGATGTCAGTGCATCCACCTCCTCATCCATGTCAGATGTCTGGCATGCTCGGTGTGGCAGTGTCACACATCTGCAGGCAGTTGATTTGGAGACTTGAGTGATTCAGACCAGACCAAGTCAGCAATGGGCATACAGGAGTTACAAGATGAAGAGACCGTGCCCTCGTGATGCTGTGCCACATACACAAGGTGTTTCTTATCCAAACTGCATCTGATCTGGACTGCAGAAGAGGAGTCGGTGTTCTGTAATTGCCAAGTGGAAAGTGCAAGCGAGCCACAGATTTCAAGAGTAAATGTGTATTTTGCAGTGTGTTGGATGGGAGCTGATTGTCCACTTCATCCTGTCCATCTCTGCACCTGCCAAAAACTCAGTAGCCATTTGCCTGTATTTTCATTTAGAGCTGACTAGATTCAATGGGACAGAATGAATCTCAAGCTTTAGTCAGCGTTCTGCTAAAACCCATCTGGTGGTGCTGAT